AACGAATGATAATCCAGCAGACATAGGATCAAGAAAAATGAATTTACAAAAACTTATTAATTGTAAACAATGGTGGGAAGGACTTACTTGGTTGTAAAGGAAAAATATTCAAGATCAAATGTGATACCGACTGATATAGAAAGAAAAAAAACATATTCAGGTAAATTTAAAAACAGAATCAAAAGAACAGATAATTAAATTTGAAAATTTTGATTCACTACAAGAATAAAAAATATAAATTTCTTTGCAACCTTCCGCTAAATAAATACAATGATGTGTCTTACCTGGATTGAAGAGCACCTCCCGCCCTCCCTCAATTGCATGCACTAACTCCGTCACCACTAGTCCCAGCACCACTATTCCAGGCAAGACACACCATCGACGATAATACGACACGCGTTTCGCCTATACACGAGGCATCTTCAGGTAATGTAGACTCTACGGCGGCTGACCGCTAAGTGAACGGCGAGCCGAAACAGCTGCTGTTTATACCGCCGACACAATCGCTCCCCACCTAAGTAGCGAGTGACCGCGCCGTGCGATAATAAACCTGCTACTTATCATTAATAATGATTCATTATTATCATTATTGTTATGATTAATATTTTTAAATATTATTATTATTATTATTGTTTTATTGATATTATTATAGTTATTTATTATTATTAATCTTAAAATGATTATTAAAGATTAGCCTTAAAGATGTTTAACAAAGGTGAATTAGAAACATTTGTTTGTTCATTCAGCAGTGCATAATTACTATTATTACTTTTTAAAATCTCTAACTGCTCCAGCACACACAGTCGCAGCCCCTTATTACTTATTAGTATGTAAGACTTCAAAGGAATGGTCGCTAGCTAGATTGTGTCTAGTGTCCAAGACATGTTTAGCAAAATGGGATTTATCAGGATTGCAATTTCTGTACGCGGCCAAATGCTCTTTATAGCGCGTCTCGAAATTGCGACCAGTCTGACCCACGTAAACGGCGTGGCATTCGTCACAAACAAGTTTATAAACACCCGATTTTTGACTAATATTTAACTTATCTTTATTATTACAAATATTCTTAAGCGAATTGTTTGTTTTGAATGCCACGTTAACGCCGTTTTTATTAAGATTATTAGCTATTTTTTCCGATATGGAGCCTAAGGAGACGGAAAAACGTTAAACGTAACGTACCGTAAAAACGGTAACGTAAAAAAAGAGGGAAAACGTTACCGAGTATCGGTAGAAACTTGATTTTTGAACAAAGTCTTGGATTGAAGAGACTAAATCTAGTCCAATTTAATCCCCAGAAGACACAAGTTTGCGCATTTACCACTAAAATGAACCCTTTCGTCGTATCTCCTCAGATTCAGGGCATTCCCCTTGTTGCCTTAGCCAGTATTGAAATCCTCGGTTTCGACATATCGAATGACGTGCTATTTCGTGGTTACTTGGAAGAGAAGGCCAAATTGGCTTTTAAAAATCTTGGAGTGCTCAGCAGAGCGGGACAGTATTTCATGCCGGTACACCGCCTACAACTTTACAAGGCACAGCTTGAGCCCCACGTGGAATACTGTTTCCACCTCTAGGCAGGGGCCCTCGTGTGCCAGCTCCTTCCATTTGACCGCATAAAATGTAGATTGGTTCGAATCTTCAGCTACCGAGCATTTTCTGATCGGCTTTTTTTCATAGGATAGGGTGACAAAGGAGCACACAGTTCACCTGATGGTAAGTGGTTGCTGTGGCCCATAGACATCTACATCTATCCTCGATTACGAATCAAAATGCAGATGCGTCGTCACCCGTGAGGACTATGATGGAGTGCCTCGTTTCCAGTAAAAAGGGTCTCCGGTTCTCTACACTCATCACACGAAACACAGCAGCATTAAGCTACAATTTTACGCTGGTATTTTGTGAGAGCGTGGTCCTTCCCGGTCGAGCTGACCCATTTGTGCTACAACTATACTTCTAATATAAATATAGCATAACTCTACCACGTATAAAGATTACGCTATGATGAGACTTGACTCATTGGCGCTGCGAAGAGATGTTGCATCTCTTTGCGTATACTACGAGTATCGTACTTACCACGGGGAGTGAGTTGAGTTTCATCATCGCATATCGCAACAGAACCAGAGATACCATCCTTACCACCTGGATGATTGGTGGATTTGGCGCTAAACTTCTTTGTGGAATCGTCTACCACCAGCAATTTTTCTGTACCGGTACGACTTAGGGACCTCCCAGAAAAGAGTCTACTCTTTATTTAAAGACCGGCAACGCATCTGCAATTCCCCTGGTGTTGCAGTTGTTTATGGGTGGTAGTAGTCACTTACCATCAGTTGAGCCGCATACTCGTTTGCCCCCTCTCATATAAAAAAAACAAAGGTGTAACAAACCGTTACGAGGCTGGGATTGCAAAATGTATTTTTATCTCTGTTGTTACGTTAATGATCATGATTACGTTGAATTACATTATGTTCTTTGTTCTGTTTATCTTAAAATGAAATGTAATATTCTCGGTGTCATATTTATTGAACTTCCAAATCATATACTTTTAACTTATATAAGCCATTATATTCCGAAAAATTGGTAGAGTATTAATATCTAATCCATTTTTGTGGATCATGAAAGTAATGGTTAATCAAATATAAATGTATAAATAAATGAATTGTAAAGTGTACAATTTTAAATATAAATGTGAATAAATATATAAAAGAAGAGTAGACTACTTAATGTGAATGCCTGGATAAGTGACTTAATAGGTGACTAAATAACTCATTAAATATGTATGTTAGAATAATACGTCAACCAAAATAGTATACTTTCCCGAATATTCACTTGATATGTCAAATATTATTCATTATTGTATGATACACATGTTTCACCACGCTTATTGTAACTACGGAATTACTATGTGCTGTTATAGAGTGCTTGGCCAGCCACAACTCAACTCCACTCAAGCCAAAATTAAAGTTATTATAATGTTTTTGTTAGAATGTAAGATTTTTTAAATTAACATTCACTTGTTATTATATATAAATTTGTGGAAAATCCAAATGTGCATGAGCATGTCTTAAGCGCTCATGTTATGCGTCATTTTTTAAAAGTATTTTAAATACACACAAGTTTTCACAAATAAGCTTGTTACTATTACCTCTAATTTGTCGATAATTTTATGTCAAACATCAATAAAATAAATTTGGAAAATGCAGAAGTGCACGACTCATATGATCGTGAAAAATTTTAGAAAAAAAATATCAATCAGCAATAGAAAATACTATTTTTAATTTTACTATGTTATTATTATTGAGATAGAATTTTTTTTATTATTTTTTAATGAAAAATATTTTCATCAACTAGATAATTTTATACTATCGCGGTCACCCCGATTTATGGCTTTAGAAAATCGAAAAATCATCCGACTTTGATGATTTTTTTTAATCTTCATTATTAAGGCGGATTTACGAAAAAAATACAAGAATAAATAAATTAAAACATATGCTATTGGTTTTCAAGGCTTTAAATGTTCATGAAAATGCACTCATTTAGGTATAATTGTTGATAATTTTTTTAAATAATCAAATGAAGTTGTTATATTTTTTTTAATAATCTACCCCAAAAAACGAACATTGAAAAAATGTTTGAATATTAATTTTTTATTTTGGTCTCTATTGAGTGTAAGATCGAGCTATGCGAGCTCGGGACTTAGGGCATCCCGACTCGAACAGGTTAGGTTAGAAGAAGATGACGGGTTCGAGTGAGCGAGCGAATAGACCCCGCCATCTCCTTCGTGGTTATTTTTTTTATAAATCACTTAGAAGTAGGAGCCCCACGAAGCGGGGCTCTGTCGACCGGGCTTTCCTCAACAACGCTACGTTGAGTGGCTTAGTGCTTCCCTCCCCCAACTGTCTCCCGTAGCGATGCAGGGCTCCTCTTTTGGGGGTGGAAAGTATAAAATTACAACTTATTTTTAATGTTTTAGGTATTTGTACTCAGGCATGACGGTATTGACGGCGCCGTGGCGCAGTAGCTTAGCTGTGAGTTATAGCGCTGAGGGCCACAAGCTCGAATCTAGCATCGAACAAGTATTTGTGTGGCCTAGAAATAATTGTTCCGGGTCTGGAAAATTGTCCTTGTAAAATTTATGTACCGCCTCCACGATACAAGAAAATCGTAACGTGGGGGTAACGTTTTTTAAAAAATAAGAAGGCATTATCGTAAAAATTAGTCTTTTTTACTACTCCGGCGCAAGCGGCGAATAGCCGCTTAGAAGTGACGTTAATGATGCGAATACACATAGCAAGGCGGCTTTTACCATATTTTGTGACTTGTGTCCCTATCTATAATCCCTGTCCTATTTATACTCCATAATGTAGGCTACATTATGGAGTAGACTCACAGGTTTTTTAAAATAATTTTCAAGGCGTCGTATATATTCACAAAATTCCAAATAGTGGCAGTACTTCGAGATCTTAAAATAGCAGCTAACACGTTTTTTGGGTCGAATCCCGCAGGATGCCCTAATTTTTCTGCGCAATAAATGCCCGACTCCAATGCGTACTATTTTCGTACATCACCAGACCATAATTTGTCTTGTTGTTGACTGCGTATGAAAATTGCATAATCTTTGTTAAAAACGTCATAAAAATCATCAATAAGTGTGTTCCATTTGAGATTCTGCTCTTACAGAACGACCTAAAAAACTTCTATGTACCATTTGCTTAATCTGGCCGTGCTAGTAGGGGTGCTAGTTTGGTGTTAGTAAGAGGGAAGGAAGGCATTATTTCCATTTTATGAAAAATAAATTAATAAATTTTTTTTATGTAATATAGGTTTCGAAAATATAGAAATAAGTTAAAAAAGCATCATTATATAATCAATAGTCTCGATGCCTAGATTATTACTACCGAATTTTCGATTTGGCGTATCAATTGTCAATGTCATAATATTATTTTCTGTTAACTTTATATTATGTATTTATATCTGCATTCATCGCTTTAACGAAATCAAAAATGCGTCGTAAGTACACAAAATATTTATATATCGCCGGCGTATTGTTGGTAATTGGTAACTTGCTGGGATCATGCGTGGTTTTTCTTCAAGTCAACGACACGACGCATTTCTATGTAGTCAATCCAATATCATACCTAATACCCCAGAAGGACACCGTGTGTTATAAAAAACGTACAGAAAATACCATTGATATCATCGGAACGGATTACTTCCCGCGGCCGTCCATTTTTTTTCATTCAACATACTGTGACAAAATACTGGACGATCGTACAGCATGTGCAATAGAATCAGCGGCCAGATTGCATCCACAGACACACATTAATCTTTTATATACTAGTCCAGTAGAAAAAAAGACTTGGAGCGAACTCTTGAATGTAATGGTTAAACTACCAAATTTTCACATGATTGGTATACATGTTGAGAGCTATGCTGATGGCACGGAATTCGAAAAGTTCTGGAAAAATGTAGTGATTCATAATAAGGTAGTAAATTATAAACTCGTGGCAGAATACCTTAAATTTCTAACTCTACATAAATTTGGTGGAACTGTTCTTGACTTAGATGTCGTTGTTAATAAACAATTGGATGAGTTGGGTGAAAACTGGGTGGTTAGGGAGGGAGAAAGTATGCTGGGTACGGACGCTATAGCTATGTCAAAAAGTTATTTTAATCGCAACTTCACTGCTATGGTCTTGAGGTGAGCTCCATTAGTTTTATTTTTAAATATAAGTCTTTAATAATTTGCGTAAACTAGTAAAACACTATTCCATTGCTAAGCAAATGGTTGCAGCCCTTTTCGATGACGGTTATAGCGGTCCGCTAAATGACAGTATTTCTGAATTTTTATTAGATTTTTTTACAAAGCCGAAACAGGTAGCGGCATTAAAAGTGCGAGATGTCTGGTGCTGTGGCCCCACTCTAGTCCGCTTATTAAGCATGGCGATAGTGGCAAGAATCTCTATGTGAGAGAGATCCAAGTTCAACAGTAGAATATGGTTTATTTATCTATTATGACTAGTAGTGCTAATAAGATGCTGCTGCTCATCTCTTAAACAGTAGATGGGCTGCAAAATCTTGATAAGAACTCAAAAATATAAAATAAACTGTGGTTGCTGGTTAATTCGTTTCTATCAGTAGCTCTGGTTCACTAGGTCCACCTTAATTTAACTTAAATTTCACGATTTTAGGTCTCTCAGCCAGCAAATTATGAATAAAAATATAAATGTGAGTGTTGCAATGACTAATGCGTTTAAACATCTATGTCCTGGAACAGATTTCACAGAAACCTATTCAAAATCATGTCATGGTATGTTTTTTTTTCATATTTAAAATAGAAATTGTAAATAAAAATTACGCTGAGTAAAAAAGAAAACTTAATTCTGAATGAATACTATCCGTAGTTATGTAAAAGTTAGTGACAATTTTTGTGGTTTTGTTACTCAAACATGCACGTAGCTAAATAGATTCGGATGAAATTTCACACAGATATAAAAAAAGATAACCTGAATAAATACAGGATATATTTTAATTACTGTCTTGTTTTTATTTGTTTTCTATTGACTTCGAGGTTTTATCACAGCGTTGAGTTCTGGGTGAGGATGCAAGCATTTGATCGCTTTTTACTCTTTACAGTACGTAAGATTCAATAAAGAATTAGAAAAATAATTGATTCCATGTATATATGCTATTTTATTAAATAAAATGTTATTTCCAGGTTACGACATACATGACGGTAAACTATTTCACCCAATAGGTCACATCGAAAAGCAACACTTTCTTCAGTCTAGAAATTACAATAAAAGGGCGTATGCACATCGTCTTTGGGACGTGGAAGTCCCGGAAAAGATCATACCTTATAAAACCTTATATGCTAAGATAGCACAGACGTTTTGTCCGTGGGTTTTTTCTAAAATAAATAATGAATATTGAAAATTTGCATGTTTATTATTAAGGTCAAGCGAAAGTCTTTCGGTGGGCCATCCTCGTATACGTTCCAGATTACTAGATACTTTTTATTAGGTTCATAAAACTGGACATATATATTATAACACGTGGTAAAATTAAAAATTTTGTACAATCGACTTCAATATAAATAAAATGAGAACAGACAATGAAAAGTAAATTAAATAGGCATTATTTAAGGATAACTCAAGAACTACTTGTTGGATCTTGATCAAATTTATAAGGGACCACAAAAGAAGCACCAGCTTTCAGATAAAAAATCATCAAAATCGGTTTACCAACAAAAAAAATCCTCCTTTTTGAAATCGGTAGAAAAGACATTAAACGATATACTTATATCACTACGTGGGTGTTGTTAGAGGTGACATGGGGAAATTGAAATCCGCGAAGCATGGCAACTTTGTAAAACATTCCTACTATGTATGAGCCAATCTATGGAGGCGGCCTATGTTTAGCAGTAGAATTTTAGTAGATAGTCATGAATAAATGAATAATATAAGCGTATTTAAACGTCATTAGCATCATGAACACAACAATCTCAAAATAATAATTTGTACCTAATTATTGAATAAATTTAATTTATTTAAGTGTGGACCAGTTAAAACTAAATAAGTAATGGTCTTTTGAAGGAAAATACAGAAGGTTAAAATGTAATGAAGATATTAATATTAATTATATAGTACGAAAAACACTAACGATATAGAGATAAGTGTTAACCATAATTTATTCAAGGATATGGGAGCTAGAACGCTTTCTATTAACAATACGATTAGAGGGGCGGCGAAAAATAACGACAACAATCTATTTATTCATTGAATAGTTAGTGAAGAAATAATATGTCGCCTCAAACTCCCCTGTTTTCAAGCGAAGACAGCTTGAAGTGTGAGTCTGGATTCAAAAGAGTTTAGCTGACAACTGAGATTATTTATAAATGAAATATGATAGGTACAAAAACTTTTCTAGTCTTTCCAGATGACTTTTGAACACTTCAGACAATGGGCTCCAAATAGGGCTGCTCTAGAGGGTTACGCACATCTAGTATATAAAAAATAATGTTGTTTGCTTTGTATTTTATACTTTACACCATATTGTTTGCATTTACGCGAAGGTTATAGAGTAGATCGCGCGCGTATCGTACCAACAAATTTATTTAAAGTTATATATAACTTTGTGGAATGTAATAGCATTCCTAATTAAACAATATAACCCTTCCAAATTTAAAATGATATTTCTACAATTATTTCTCCTGCTGCAGCAATGCGCCGGGTACCAGCTAGTAAGAAATAAAAAGTACAATAAGAATACCTAATCATTAAGGAAAATTCTTTACCTACATAGGTACAAAACTTCTAAGGCGTGAAGCTTTTAGCTACCTACTATAGTCAATGATCCAGCTTATTTCCAACAAATACACCCAAGTCACGCATACTACAGACAACTAGTTGTTAAGTACTTTAAATAAATAGTAAGAGACACTCGAACATGTTTTTCTTGAAAAGTTTAAGTGAACGCAGTTTGCTTAATTATGAACCGTTTTATCGTTTATACACTAGTCTTTAATAGTGTTAAGGTAGCGTTGTACTTCGACAGTGAAAATGTGAGCCTGTAAATAATAGATATTTATTACCTTTTTTTTTTCTTTAGATAAACTTATATTTGGAAGCGAGTGAGGTATTATGTGTCGTCGTTTTTTTTTAAATAAATTCAGTGTGAACACAAGGAATACATTTGTTTTTTAGTTATTTGGCGATGAGAATTAAATTTTTGAGTGATAAAAACTTAACCGCTAAATTAAATTATAGAAATGTTTTAGAAATTCCTTGTAATAGTCGAGCAAAATTCTGTCGTATATATATATATATATAGATCTTGTCTCGTGTCAGAAATAAAGAAGAAAGAAGTTTAGGCTACTTGGTTCTAAAATTATCTGTTTTAAAATAAATTTTACAAATTTGGCTGATGCTGATTAAAAAAACATTAGGATTGGAAACACGATGCATAGAAATATATATCTGAAAATATATCTTATATCTGAATCTTATTTGAAGTCATGTCTTTTTCTGACAAACCAATTTTATGGTTTAATTAAAAATGAAAATTAAAAATAACTATTGTGTAATAAGTTTTAGTATATATAACTTGTCCTGTATACGTAATATATGGTTGTAATTTTCATGCATTAAAATTTAAACGCCTTTTACTGGCGGTGACCGACATGTCTGCAATGACTACTAATAAGTAACATTTTTATATGAAAATAGCGGAAAGCTCCAGAGATAGCCTGCAGGGTCAACCTATTTTTTTGGGTTATACGTAATTATGTATGATTGTTTGGTTAAAAGCTATTATCATAATCATCATTACATCCCTACACAAGTCCACTGCTCAACATAGGCCTCCCCCAAGGAATGCCACAAAGTACAGTCCTGAGCCACCTGCATCCATCGACTTCCTGCAAGTCTTATCAGATCGTCACTCCATCTAGTGGGGGGTCATCCTACACTACGCCTACCAGTACGCGGCTGCCACTCAAGAACCCTTTTTCCCCATCGGTTACCGGTTATTCGAGCTATATAATAATAATAAAATTTAATTCAGACAAGAGTCCATAAATTGGTTTGTAACATAACATTATTATAGAATTATTTTTAGTTAAATTGATTAAAATCTTAGAAAAAAATCATACATTTTAAAACAATATCAAGTGAGTACCAAAATTGAAACATAGTGATAATCTATTTAGGTATGTTAAGCCCTTCTCGCAGCTTTCGCCCTAATACCCTATAAGATACCAAATCGAATGCTTTGGATAAATCCAAGAAGTATGCATACACCGTGTGAATCACACTGGACGAAAAGCTTCAATGGCTCCCCCATAGATCAAAACTAGCTAGCAGACTTAGTTCTGCAGCATATGCTGTAGAAAAGATTAGAACTCTTACCAGTGTTGAAACAACTAGAATAGTTTACTTTAGTTATTTCCATAGCATTATGTCGTATGGTATTTTGCTATGGGGACACGCGACTGACACTGAAATTATATTTATTTTACAGAAGGGGGCCATTAGAGCAATATATAATTTAAAACCAAAAGAGTCACAGACAAAAATTTAAGAAAATTAATATATTAACTGCGTGCGACTGCAAATGTAATTTGCGCCAAAAACTTAACGCTTCAGTGACAATACAATGGTCCAGCCAGCGCTGACAACCATGTGCCTCACTTAAAATGTATATGTGTCTAATGGTAGCACATTCATACCCACGCAAGACTACAAACATTCTGAACAAAAGTTCAATAATTCATTACCAAAAAGCGTACCTGGATGCGCATTAAAATCACCTAGTATGAAAACATTTTCAATGGTCTCACTTTCCACAATTGCGTTTACTTCACTCAGGCACTCAGTGAAATCAACTAAATTATCACTACAGTCTGTTGGAATATACACTGAGAATATAAGTAACGTACATTCTGGCAGATGCAACTTAATTGCTGCAAGACGCACACTGTCACACTTTACTACACTCACTATTTTAAAAGCACTCTTCCGCCATAATAATGCAACTCCGCCATACGGTCTGCCTCTAATTATGCCTACTGATGTATCCATAGCTGATATACATCCAGTATCCAGTATACATAAAATCCTGATGAATATTTCCGAGGAAATCTATGTCATGTGGAAATAACCATGTTTCTTGCACAGCTATTACATCCGTTATCTCACAAAGTCCT